TATTCAATAAAAGGAAGTTTAAAAAACACAAAGAAAGAAAGAATAACAATGCCGCTCATCCTTCTTGACTTAGACTAATTGTTTTTGTTGACTCTCGGCAAATTGATGATCTGATTGAAAGTGAATTTTGTTCCCTAAACAGTCAGTCATTACAAAACAGAAAAAGTAATAACTTGTGCATGACTGTGAATATGATCCTCATTTTAGCGGTTTTCAACTTGTCATATCATTCATTAGGTAGTCTCAGTTACTTATGAAACCAATTACAAACCCTCACTGTTTGACCGGTGCCACATCAACACCAAATAATGTATCATCCATTTGGAAATGTGTTCGAAAAATGCAATGGATACGTGCAACAATGACATGTGCCGTGTTACCGTAGCTCATTGCAAACAGTACACATCATTCACCACGCACTTACCTGGTGTCGGTAATTGTCCCACCAAGACGATCCAGCTACCAATATGGCCCAGTTCCTGGATGTGTATTCTGACTTTACGCTAGTTAGCCATAGTCCTATCCATAGTAGCCAAAGAATCAACATTCTGAGGCTCTTGGAATGTACCCTGACCGTGTCCATTCGGGCCGTAAACTGGTCGCGTGCGGGGATAACTCAACAAGACACCTAGTAAATGGAGTCGATTACGCATGGACTCCAAATGTGCCAATGGTTATTGATTTAAAGGCCCGCATATACAGTCTCCAAAACAATATTATTTCTTTGTTTTTATTGTCCTATTGTCTATTGAGCTGAACTGCATAATGTGACCTCGAGTTAGGATTCCATTTTCTTTTGCAATGATACACCTGAGTGTGTGATTATCCACCACTAGAACACAGTTTTTATAGTCACAACTTTAATCTTGTCATCATATAACACGATGCGTACGAATTGTAAATAAAATATCATACTCAGTCACACAATGTGTTATAGCCAATGCAGGCCATCTGGTGGGCACATGGCCCTGTATTCACGGAATTTCCGATGTCCGATAGCTTTATTCGCTAAGTTAAGTGAATTATATGCAAACAATATTTACTCATCCTGATTTATCGTTTATGCTAATTATTTTTGAATTAAAGTTTCGCTTGCAGCTTTAAGTAAAAATAACATTCACCAGTAGCTTCCAAGTGGCATTGAGTTTTTGCAGACTTCTGATATACTGAGTCATTCCACCTTGTGCTTTTGCTATGAACTGCTTTTTATCAACTTTCCCAATCAATGGCAGAAGATTCTGCTTCCACACAGGCACATTGTGAATAAAATAATCTAAAAGGCACCGTTCAAATGGGTTCTAACAAACCCGTATCTAACACTGGATGCAGTAAATTCAGACAATATGGCACACATAGAAGTATGACAATGTTATTCACCTTGCAGCAGTTAGTGATCTCTCCTAATTTCGCACATATCGAATCGTTAGACATTTAATTTCATCAAGATGGGATACCACCATATAAGCGAAATTTTGTAGTTTGAAATATACGACGGGAACAAACGAAAATAGACGAAACTCAATTCGGTGTTCATCTTCAGACAAAGGCCGCGTACAAAACTGCATCACCGACATATTCCAATTTTTCTGTTGATGGAATCCTATCAAGAACGCCTTCGTTCAGGCCAAATTTAAGGCAGTGAAACGGGAAGTTATTTGTTTGCACCACTTGTCAATAATTTGTATTGATAAATTCTCTACTACCGAAGTTTACGTACCTATTCATATTTCATATGGAGTTTATCGGCTGTTCGGTAAAATCCAGGTAGTGTTTTTAATTTTTTAGCCTGCAGAGAACGTGGTCTTCATTCTGGTTGTGAATAATATTATAGAAGTATTTCACTGTTTACTTACCCTTCCATAAAAGCTCAAATTTTCCGTACTCACTGATGAACTTTCTTCCTCTCGAAAACTGCGTTTATCACGTCTATCCAACCCTCCAAGGCTTATAGCACGTCCCTGTTTAACTGCCTCCTCACTTCCCAATAGATCTAATGTTATGCAGTCATGTTTTAGCTTGCCTTCACCCTCCTCGAGAACTACTTCAGCAGAACCATGCCAATCGGACTCTACCGTTTTATTCCTCTGATCTCAGTCTGTGCTCAAGCTTGCTTCCTTCAACATGGAAACATTGTTGCACTTTAGAAGAAAGCTGGTGTGCTTCTAGTGCTCTAACTTCTAGCGATTGACACATGTTGCCCCTTGGAATCATTCATCCATAACTTGAGCTCAATAATCCTTCTTTCGTCTCCCTCGATCCGAAAATAAGCCTCCCTGGGCCCCGGCGAATCAGCTTGAAGGATTTGTTACTGCATTGAGGGTGAAGGCTAAGCCTACTCCACTGAACTGAACCTCGGTGGACAGCTGATAGGGAGCAGTGAGACTCTGAAGTCCATCTAGAGTAAAAAAAACACAGAAACCAAACGAACAGTTCACAGGCGTGATTGTTGCGTGTTTGCCTACAAACTATAGCCTGAAAAAAGGAAATAAATTCCACCACAGTTTACATGAGCTTCTTCGTAAAATGCCTAGGAAGAATACCGTGAATATGGATGGAGACCTAAGCGCACTCGAGTACTGTCCGCTGTCCGATGAGGTTCATCTTGACGTTATTCATTGCTACGGCTAGATGTTGTTCAGACAATGAGGAAAGACCTTTTAGCATATGCTCATTATGCTATCTGTCTGTCCTTCATCGTCACAAATGTGGACTCAGATTTATCACGTAGGAACCAGTTTAAATAAACAGGGTACGTGAATGACTTTCGTTCGTAGCGGTCTACATGCTTTAACTCTGACCAATCACCGGTTTGTGCAAGGATTTCTATACGATTTGATAGCTTTACAAAAACAGGTGCACTGAGCTTGACAGCAATCTTTCTGACAAAACCGGACAGGTCAATCGTCAAAACGAGTTGTTTGCAGGAGTAAACACCAGACCAACAAGGAGTGTAGAACAACACTATTCAATCGTTCCAAACGCAATGTACTGAACTATAGTTTACACAGTTATAGCAGTACCTCATGGGGTTTAGTACATAGGGTTTCCTCCTGTTCTCTCCAACCTCTTTATCATTGTCGGATCATCAAGGTGATCAGCGTGTATGATGAATAGCCATTCTCACAAAGAGCTTAAAATATGTCTGAGAAGGCTGATGGGCACTACAGGCAAAGGGAACTACTGGATACTACTGGCCACAAAAGACAGTGGGGTAGTAAAACAATTAGCAAAGTAGGCGGCAAGCTAATATATAGCCTTCACTGATTCTAGGGACACTAGTCATAGCACTTCAAATCGCATTTCAACCAGCCTCTCGCGCTGAATAATTCAAGTGAGTCTCTTGAGAGTGCCCCCTGATCACTTACCACCGCACAACCCACAGAAGCAGATATCAAAAAGGATCTCCAAACCCTTGAAGGTCATAAGGCATCTAAAGTGTTTGAAGCCTACATTCGGACCTTTTTAAAGACGATGTGGAAGTTTTCGTAAAAGAGTTTTCTCGGCTGTTTTCGAAAATCTGGGATGATGAAAATGGGCCTATATAGGGAAAGGATCGATTGTTACATCTACGTACAATATGGGCTGTGTCAATGGTTTTTGAAAAGTGAAAGGGTTCAAGCCCGAGTGCGATAGCATCGACGCTGTTAGGATCCGTTTTTTTACATAAACCGAGTCCATTTCACGAGAGACAAATCTTCCCGTAGCAGGCCTGGTTTCGGGCACACCGTGTTTGCATGGATCAAATCTGCATCCTTCACCAGCTGCTGGAACATTGCAAACAGGTAGATGACAAACTAAGGTCGTTTGTGGGAACATCAGACGGGTTTCGACTCTATCAATCACCGTGCTTTGTGCTACTCTTTCCTCAGGCTTACGCGAGAGCAATTACCATAACCTTTTCATTTAAGCTGTCTGAATATCAATTTAAGATGTCATGTTGCTAAGTGGATAGTGTGATTGCTCCGTCGTTTCACATTGTCTTGTCCTTTTTGTGATGCTCTTGTTGTCACATATAGTCCATCCTTGTGGTGAAGACACACCTGCTGTTAGTGTGCTGCTTAAGTTTTGGTGGGGAATCACCACAAGAGAATCAGTTGTGGAACGATCCGCCATGTGGCAAATTCCGAATGGAAAATGCTCAAGCGACGATGACACTGGACCAACCCCTAACCAGTATAAGATACACGCACTATTTTTCGAAGCGGGTTTGGTAAACAGATAATCATAATAAAACTTTGAACTTGTCTTAATAACAGACAACAATATTTCCTAATGTAGGCCCATGCAAAACTCTTCAAGCCATGATAACAACCAGTATGATGACCGTCTGTTCCTAATCCTGTTCTTATATCACAATAAATTGCCGTTATTCCCAACTAGAGGTAGATCACTCAAAACAAGGTAAGGGGTGCGTTAGACCCTGGCTACGATTACCTTTGGTCATCAACCCGTCTGATTTCGTCGTTGCTCTAAGAGGCACTGCTGTGGTTAGCACAGGTATGTAAGTGCCAATGATCCTGAGAAAACTTAGATAAGTTCTGCGTTGCTCTGTGCGTGTATGGATACCACGAACAATACAGTAGGGGTGAATAAGAGTTCAAACATTCTGTAAATACCATTTGTACTGTAAAATGTATCAGATACATAAACCGTTTGACATTCGGTTTATAACCGGCTTTATGCCGCTCTAGCGTCATGGTAAATCCAGAGCTCAGACTGGCTGTTTTTGAACGAACAAGGAGGGGGTAGTTCAAAGGAATCGCGATCACTTCAACCGTGGAAAATAAGCGATGCTAAACCTGCTTCGATCTCACCCCGGTGATCGTGTAGATTGGCCTGACTGACTCAATCATTCTGACACGATGTTTGGATTCGATCAAACGAGCCGGAATTGCCGTACCCCCGCTTCTCGTCAATTCGCGACTAAGCCAACTGGGATGGTGTTCTCAAATGCGTTCGGACAAGCGGTGGGTGGTACGGCCAATGTTAAGGGTTCCACAGGAACACAGATTGGTGGATGGTGTGGCGCAATGCCAATGTATTCAACTGCTACCATTTTGAAGGTTGAAGAGAACTATGTTCACCTGGTTTTGCTATGCAAGCAGCAGAATGGAAAACATATGGAACAACTTTTATGATATGAATATATTTATTCCCGTAATATTTGTTCTTTCTTTGTTTCGAAATTCTATCTCAAAAGTATTTATCCAGATCGTTCAACTAAAAAACAACCAGTTAGAAAAAAATCAAGAAGAGTTGTGCGTGGGCCTACATTAGGAAATATTGTTGTCTGTTATTAAGACAAGTTCAAAGTTTTATTATGATTATCTGTTTACCAAACCCGCTTCGAAAAATAGTGCGTGTATCTTATACTGGTTAGGGGTTGGTCCAGTGTCATCGTCGCTTGAGCATTTTCCATTCGGAATTTGCCACATGGCGGATCGTTCCACAACTGATTCTCTTGTGGTGATTCTTTCCCAACACTTAGGCAGCATCGGATTCAGAACCTATCCTTCTCCTGTGCTGGCCCGAAAATCACATGACCGATAGGGTTCATTTATCGATCGGTCGAATGGTTCAACCACAACAAGGGACCTGGTGCTTGCCCAGCTACGTCGAGCGAGAAACTACACCTTGTTAACAGCCCTAAGTCTTCAGCAGGCCCAGTGAACTTGGACTGTGCAGGATTGTCATCAGCACTCGGATGGACTGGACGTAACGACAAGAGCATTGCAAAACGTACAAGTCGGTCTCATGTTGGGTGAGGGATTTTAAGCGCCGCAGATCGCGGAATATGATCCAGTCAGATCGCATTAGGGGTCAGAGGGAATTTACTTGTTTACAGTCACGGGTGAGTGGGACGAGACGACCGAAAATGATGGAACAATCGCACTGTAATAAAACTCGTCTTATGTACGGACTACAATATTCATTAATATAGGCTAACGCGAAACTATTCTTGGAGTTTTACCATCTGGCTTTTTCGCGTTGAACGATCTTTTTAACTACGGATGAGATAGAATTCCAGATGAGAGAAAACATATGGAAAAAATGCATATTAATTTTATGGAAGTTGTTCAGTATGTTTTCCATCTTGCTGCTTGCTTGGAAAATACGGCGAAGACAGTTTTCTTCAGAATATTAGTAATTGTAATACTTTCGCACTGATCCGCCTGTGCGAATGGTTGAGTTTCGGTTTCAGTTTAAGTTTTTACAACCCTTAACCATGCACTAGCGTGCACCGGTTTTAGTTGCTGTCTTTTTGTTGCCCATTTGGATGAACATTAGGAAAAAACCGAAAGGTTGGCAGTAGGACCAAAGAGAGAATTTAGAATTTCAGCGGATTGATGTTGCAGAGAAATTGCCAAGATGCACGAACGCCACTGTTTACGACACCCAGCTATATCAATCAGTGTCTCTAATTATCGGATACGTTCATCCCGAGGACCCCATCCGGGGACGGGACCTATGTGACCCAGTCTCCTGATTAGGGTTTTAATACTCTCATGCGAGGTATTAGCTTTCCCACCCTGGGCTTTATTTCACCCACTACCTGCCTCGGCAAACATAGCTCACTGTGGCAACCCAGCCAACCGGATGCACAACGGAGATCGCCTAATTTAACTCTGTGCGGACCACGGATTGTTCCTGTCAAATATGAACTTATCGCACAAGAAACGACACCGCCTTAGATGAAAACCTCCAACCTCTTCACTGCGCTGGACCCAGATCGACCACATCGCCATCAGTTACTGCTGGAGAGGGTCGATTCAAGACTGCCGTTCTCATTGGTCCACACCTAGGGTTACGGATCACGATTTATTACGAGCCACATTCCCCTTATACTTGACAAACAACCACAAAAAGGCCACCGATAAGGGGTACCCACGATACAACATCAGTGATTGCTGCAAATCGGCCTTCGAAGTTGATCTCTCCGATCACCTATCAGTTCAATCACAAGCCGAAGGACTCAATAAAGATTGGAAGCAAACCAGCGAAGCTATGCAAATAAGTTGCAAACTTGGTCTGGATGGATCAGATTTTGGCCATGGGCAGAGCCGGGGCACAACCTCAAGGGGGTTACAAGTGTAATGACGCAACCCACGAACGCGAATCCAACAATCACGTGAAAAGCGACTTTGTTGATTACGAAACTGCCGTCATCATTCAGCATATTATGGCTTAATACCGTTCCACGGTTGTACAAAAACGAGATTAACACAGAATAATAATTCATAGCGGCATTTGACTCAAATGACTGTACTCTCTCTTTCTCCAACAAGCCATTTAGTGGTGGCAAAATGAGTACCTACATTTCGGTCTCCATTGTAAGGATTGACGACGTTATATTTTGAGATTGTGTCAGCCATCTATCAGATAGGATGTAATGAACTGTGACTTTGTGTTTCCAGTTCCATCAAGAACGTTGTATGAAAAATGATTTTAACACATATTTATTGATGATCACCAAGGAATATTCCAATTTTGATCGAAAAATGATCCATTCAACTAGCTAATCATTACGATCGTTTTTGGATAGCGGAACTATTTAACCGCACACGTCGAATATAGCTTGCACAATCTTCTCCACCTCATAACCTTGTTTGCACAGCTGATCCAACTTGCGCAATTCTTGGGCCACTTCGGGAACCTGGAAATAAAGAGTGATAGAAGTGGAGTCTATCAGTCTAGAAAATTCACTGGAGAACAAAAAAAAACCAAAATATCACCAAATTAGGTGTGAGAAGGATATCATTTGTTCATTTAATGTCCATGTCTGTGTCCGTTTCTGACGAGGTTTGTGTCACGGGGTATTCAAATGAGGTCTTTCGTTCTGACGTGGTGAAACTGATCTAAACACATGTATACGGCTGTATACGGGTCACGCCGCCAATCCCTATTCGGAGATTGCCGTGTTTGTCGACCTATCAAACTCTGCAAAAACAGATGGTTTTACTTAATTAATGTTTCAAACTGTTTTTAAAGATGTGAATGGAAAAAAGTTAGGGCAGTCTAAATGTGCGGCCTTTACAGTCGTGGTAGATTGTGATGTTTCATACCTGGTATCGATTAGTAACATGCTCCACAGTTATAAAATGTTTTATATTTGATTTTATGCTTTCCTTTTGTAGACTGTGAAACAGTACAATTTTTTATGAAGCGAGATGTGATCAACCAAACAGGCTGTCATTAAACATATAAACGGAAAATGTCAGGCAGTGATGATGGGACTCGCAAACACGTACTCCGGGGCGATAATTTGTTTGTTTCATCAAAATCACGGACTAAAGATTAGATTATGTTCTTTTACTTCTAGTGGCTGGACTAACTCTTGTTTCATACTTTGATAATGTGTGGAAAGAAAAATCTTTGATTTCAATCCAGTTAGAATCCAGTATTCTGGTTGAGCCAAGTAGTGATTGTAAAGATAAATAATTCGATGGGTTCGGTCCGTAGATTAGGCGAATTGTATTCAGGTCAGAGAAAACAAAATATAATTTCGAAGGCAATCTTTGTTCAAGGATATATAGGGGAGGAGTAATTGAGTCTCCTTACTGTACTGGCCTAATTAGGACACGAAAATAGTCAATTTGTACTTGAAAAAGCTACTTACCAAACACCAACTACTGCAACCCGGATCGATTCGGATTTCTGATTTGATTTTGACTTAAGACCATTTATGGTCAATATAACATATTTTTAATTTTCAATAATGTTACTTGATCACTGTATTTGTGAAGGCGTATGAACCTATGCGTTTGTATCTTCATTTTAGCGATTACAATCATGCAGGGTTAGTAGACAGAAGAACCTCCCATCCGCGGTTGTTCATAACCGTCAGAATGTTTTCAGTATCCTGAATCCATTCCGGAACACTTACTTGTTGAATACTGAAACATTTCGTTTTGTAGTTCTCAAACACTGTTTCGTAGCAGTCCAGGTGCGAATTCACATCGTTTCGAGCAACAGGAGTTGCAGCCTGCTGGGTTACATCGTGGACAATCTCATCCATAGTTTCTTGTGCCATTTTCGCAAGCTGTAATGCAGATAAAGATGCAGAACAAGCGTGTGATGGTGAATATCAGTATTCCGGCTGTTCAAACTTATAAAATCAACTGGTGTTCTTCTGGAAGCGCAAACATGACCGCACGATATTATTTTGGGGGAGACTTAAAATAACCAGAAGTGCATGATCGAAATCTATAAACTAAGATTCATTGCCCATACCGAAACAAGTCCTAGTTCGAACAATATCATATCAGTGAAGCATCTACTTAGAGACATTTTAACCTTTAAATTGCATACTGTCGTGTGGGATGAACAGAAGAAAGTGTCAATCCACCAGTTTTGAGGGCATCGTGTTACGAAATGGGTACTGGTATTTTTATCCTTGAGAACTGTCGTGGCAAACCACGTTAGGCCTCATAGCGACAGACCGGGTAACGAGCCTGCCGACTTGGATTTTGCGCAACACTGAATATCAGTGGTGGGGACCGGGGAGAAAGTTCGAACAGAATGACACAAGTTATCCCACACCGAGAGAGAACGGGCATAACAGTTAGGATACTACCATTCACTAGGGGTGCATCAAACCCTAGGGAATTTAAATTGTAATAGTTATGTCAGAAAATGCGCATGCGTGTTAACACATGTGCATGATACAGCCTCCTTTAAATTGGTTCAGTTTTGCGCAAAGTTTAGAGGACAATGTGGTACGTGAGCCACGAAGAGAAATGCGTAGGTGGATACATGATAGAACGCCTATAATACCGAAGTTCTTTATATTATAATTATAGGATCACACGAGAAAACGCAAGGATTAGGATGAACAATGGAACGTGCTTTCCCTTAGAATCACCCCCATGGGCACTGGCTACAACTAGGTGGAAATTTGATGTAACAGTTAAGTTACCTGGTAACTGATGGACTCTGCTTCTTTGTGGATGTCCGGTGGGCACTTCATCAATAGAAAACAAAGTTATGTCCTTGGTTTCACCAATAAATGCTATGGAATTTTATTCGATGATCTCCGAAGCTTAATTTGCCACGTAACCGGATATGATCATAAGGATAAATTGTATTTAACTAGCCATGTACTTCTATCAAATCGTTAGATGACACCCCAAATGTTCCATGCACATATACTGAGGAAGAAAATTTTCCCGAATCCATACTGAGTGAACATTATTTCCTTGTGGAAATGCTCAGAATTTAAAACCAAAGAAATCGATGTTTGTTTTTACGAGTTATTTCACTGTGGAATGAATCACTGTTGCAAACGAAGCGAATGTTTGTACTGCTCGTTGTTTTATACAGTTGTATTTTCTGAACTCAACCAGATTCAAATTGATTTCGATAAACCGTCTGGGAAAATAGTTTCATAATGCATTTTGCTTTCAGGTTCATGAACAGACACATAAAAACAATCAACTCTAAATGAAATTTCATAGAAACACGTGACCCAAAGAACTGTGGATGTGGATGATGTCTAGAAACAGACAAGAGGAAATTCGGAAAACAAATGGACAATCTAGGTCTAAATCTTTTTCCCTCTTCACCCTTTTCCCGGCAATGTTGATCGCAGTGATACTCATATATCAAATTACTCAATATTGAAAGCTAACGATAACAACCTTTCAAAGGCAACAGATTCAACACGCTAGTCTATCGACAACTACACGTTCAAGGAACTCTATTAATTGGAATAGAATCGAGGACAGATGCGCTGCCATTACCTCTAACACGCGATTTAAGTGTCGGTGTGCTCGCTCTTGTTTGTCCTGCGTGTTGGCCATTTTGATTCGGTGCATCAGATGAACCAAATGAGCCTGAACAGCCGGTCGCGAGTCGAGTGCTTCAAGCTTCTGCACATGTGGTGAAGCGTGATGTCGGACGAATGGGTGCGGGAGGGGGAGGACAAATGTAGTCCGAAGGTAACAGAGAATTATTCGAATAGGCACAGTAAACATAATCACGAGTTATATTAAGCAAACTCCTAGTGTGACCGAACATTTCAGACAGTATTACTGAAAACTCGCCAAACTGGGGCTTGGATACATTTGAGGGATTGATATGTTATGTCAGTATTCTACAGTGTTACGCACAAAGGAACGAGGTTTTTATTTGCATTGAATAAATGTGTTCATTTGAGTGGCTCTGTGGCTTTACTAATCGTTAACAACTGGCTATTGTCACTTGGCTCTGCCACGAAAAGTATAACCAAAGGTCGTCTTTGATCTTTTGTTCGTCATAAAGAAATATCAAAGACTCATTTGGGTTCAAATTTTGTAATGACCTGCTGTGTGCGCCTGCCATCATAATGTGCTGGCAGATGTTTTATCTTTGACAGCAATCGTAAATGATTTTCCTAACCATTACAGGGCTTCTTCTTGTGGGAAATCAAACTATTATCCTCTGAGCTTCACAGTCGATAGCCAAATATGTGGAAAACATTGCATTGTTTCATATGATCTGTACAGGCACGATTATAAATCATTCGAAAACAATTGTTCGCCTTCAGACTTGTGTTCTTACATTGCAATGTCTTGTATCCACCCGATTGGACACGCTTCACTGTCTAATTGTTGATTTTACGTCCAGCCATCACAATTCGATTGATACACAGGCTGTAGTATGTGCGAAGGCGCCGAGATGAAACAGCAGCACTATATCTAATTCTATGGTGGGTTTCCGTTGACGTAATAAAACCTGTCATATTTGCATGTAATAACGTTCCTTATGATTTTTGGTTGGTAACGGCGAGATTTCAAGCAACGCGGAAACGGTGTGTCACATCGAAACACGCGAAAATTATACCCAAAGTACACGCCATATGATCCTAAACTTTTAGCTTGATGCCTCTAGTTATTCAAGGTATACAACACGATCTAACTTTATCGCGCTGGTTTGTCCAGTTTCATCGCACATCATTGCTTCTACAATCAGCAATTGGAGAGAAGCGTTTGCTAGAGCATAGCTGACAAGAAATGATAAATATTTCCCACTACCAGACACTGTGTGCGAAATACACACACCAGAATCCCAGTGGAGATTTTGAAACACACGGTAAAGAATATCTAGGAATCCGACAGTAAATAAAAAATTATGTAACTGACAAAATGGGTTATTAGATATTTTGACTGTTGGATACATCTAGATGGATTCCATTTGATTAAACAACCTTGGTCGGAGTCAAGCTCAAGCTACCACGATCTCTCCAATCGAGTACGGTGTCATGGCTATTTTGGTGGCTTTTCTCGACGTATGTTTCAACATCCTAAAATTAGGTTATAACCATGTAATTTATGGCGTTTCCATTCATTTGTTATTTTCAACCTTTTGCCCATTTTGAGCATCGATTGGAGTGCGTCATTTAAGCACTTCTCTCAAAGTGTGTAGCCAGGGAAATACCAGACAATTGTTTTTCTTGTTATTGTTGAGTGGAATTTTTATGATAACGTCAAAGCACTACGATATAACAAACTCACAAGGAATATCATTGTTTTTGTTGTATAGGACAAGTTGCTAGCATTACTTACTGCAGTGTTCCGTTTATTACTGAGAAGCGGACGCCTATCTCCAGCTTGAAACGCGGCAACAGCAGTATTGGACAATTTCTAGAAATCCAGGGTGAACATCAAGCAACCAATCAAGGGAGGTAACTTGGATGGCTTGTATAATTAGTTATAAAATGCTTAAAGCGGTAACCAAGTGTTGTGAAACTACCATATGGCTTTATGCTAGAGTGAACATTTTGCGCTGCCCATGCTGAAGTGAACAATTGAAAAGTTCACATTTCAAACAATAACGAGGAAAACGTAACGACATTTCGTTAAAAAATTCTCGATATTGTGCCAAAAAGAAGGCATCTTACGGCTCTCCGTACTGTCTTATGCATTTTATTTTTTTAACGTCACGAGTTTTGATGATGATAGACTAATTCTATCTATCCTTATGCCCGTGACATTGCTCTCAGGTGTCCACTTTATCATTCCATTTGGCATGCATTCTGAATCAAACTGTCACCCATTAGCGATTATCTGCGTGTGTCTTACTCAATTTAGACTAGTTCCTTGTTTGCATGGGGAACTAACTTCCGAGGTTTTTGTTGTGAGAAATAAACTTAGAAATTAAAATATTGCAACCCCTAGAATTTTTTTTTAATTATCTCTGCTTTCCTATGCACAAACTTCACAATATTTTAGAGTACTAAAGGCAAACGAAAGAAAAGCCGAAATAATAAATTCCATCGAATAATCTTTTACCATAAAATATATCTCGAAAAATAGTTTTTTCATCACGACACAAGTATAATACCCTTCTGAAACTTGCCCACTGAAAACAGTTTAGTAACGAGTGCATTAGTCATCCCGTCTCAAAACGTCTAAGCACCTCTCCGCATACTCTCTATAACATGTCCGAGTATATATTATTTCATCCCCTAATCAGAGATGCAACCTATTCGGGATCTCGGATGTAAAATTCTTTTTGGGTAAGAATAACCCAAATGTTTATGATCGAGTTAAAATCTGGGCTGCAAGCAGATCACACTTTTGTTTTGATTCCGCGAAATAATTACCAGCATTCTGNAATACCATGTATGAACTATGGCATGAGTATGATGGAACATTACTTCAGGATCTCTATTCGATACCGTTGCGGCTCTAAGCTGCATCTCGACAGTACGAATATATGCTCTAGATTCCTGCACCCTACGCGCTGTGGAGAATTCGGTTGGGTCGTTGCATGATAGAACACACCACACGATCACGCAGTTTTATTCGTTAATCTGCTAGCAGAAGTGCCGCTTTGCTTCCCGTAGGTTATTCTGGCATAGGGTTTGCAAGTCGGATCCATATGGAAAACATCTATTTTCGGTGGGTAAAGTAGACAAAACTTCATTCACTTTTCTATGTATTATGAATTTTAGCCCTCAATAAATA